GTCTATCAACGGGCAGTGTTATTTTGTGATGAGGAAATTCTGATCACCAGCTGGCCTCCTTTAATAAATGTGCATGCAGCACATTTACTTTTGCCACAGATGTGCATTGTTTTGTTTCATCAAATCATTCTCCTTCATGAAAGTATTAGCTGTATTCATTCTTGCTTTTTTCTTTTTTTCTAATAAAATTTTATTACAAAATACAATATTTGGACTTCAAAATCTCTGTTAATTTCAATCATAGACTGATTTTACTCCCAACACTCCCAAATAAATCTGATATTTTTACCAGAAACTCTTTAAAGAGCAGTCTTTAAGGAAAGGGGTGGTCAGGACATATTTATCCCCTAAATTTGGAGTAGTAAAGGTACTTCTCTTTGTATTTAGCTGTTACAAATATACAATATATTCCTTACAAGAAAGCTACTAATAACCTCTCCTGTTGAGATGGTGAGAGAACCACTAGCCCAGAAGCAGTTTTCAGTTATAGCCCTTGCCTCCCCTTGAGTTAATATCTCCTAAACTCAAATACATAGTTTCCTGGAATTGATGTAATGGTATGTGGGAATGACTGCAGGAGACAAGAGGGAGAGCTGGAGACTGACCAACCAATGTATAAAAGATATTTCAGGCCATAGAAGGAGGGACTGTGGAAAAAATATTTCAAAAAGATCATCCCTAGTTTTCTGGAGAATAAAAGGGAAATATTAGAAGCTTGGATTAGATAATTAGACAGCTAACATGTGGACCTAAGAAAAGAAGAGGTTTCTTTAAGGACCTGTCAACAGATACAGTGAATATGGCCATTAAACTGGTCCAAACTGTATTTTCCATTTCAAATATATTTTATCTTTTTGCCTTAGGGAACAAAAAGTCCTACAATGGCCTGGCAAGAGCTTCTCTTGAACAACATCTTGCTCACTGCTACTTACTTCTTACTTACTTACTTCTGTGACACAAAGGCACAGAAAACTGTTCATCAGTGAGGATGGACTGCATTTAGGCTTGGTGAAAATACTATTAAATTATTGGCAAAGCTGATTGGGAATTTGGGACCTGCAAACTTAACGTGTGAAGGGTGTCAGTTTGGAGAAATCTTCCTTAGTGGATCAGAGCTTCTTGGTATATAAATTCCTGCAAGGAAGATTCTTTGAAGATAAAATGTCTGAAAACCGCTTCCACCATCTTGAATGGGAATTAAAGAATATCAAAAATGTTATTTTAGAAACACTGTTAACTAATGTTATCTTCAGGAAAACACAAATGGTTATAGCGTATTTTATACTCTGGAAGCAACTGCAATTCAAGTATACTAAAGCAGACTGGCATTGAAGAGCAGTTTTTTCTTTTATTAAAAAAAATGTTTCTATATCTTAAAGGAAGTTCAATAGACATATATACAAAAATGAGTCCAAGATAAATGTCTATAAAGAAGAAAAACTGTAGCTCATTAGTAGGACACATTCTTAGGACACCACCATCACCAAAGACAAGATTCAATTTCTAGCTAGTGTAGACTATACCAAGCAACGTGAAACAACGTGATTTGTTAAAATATGACAAATTGTAAAAAAAAAAAAAACAGGGAGAGGGAAAGGTGGGATTATTTTACGTTCAATAGATATCAGATAAAGTTTGGGATATACCTATTCTACATGCTTGATGCCACCATGTGGCAATAGCTTGTATTTGTATTTGTGTGTAGTAGAAAATGAAACCCTGTTTCTTTTTAAAGACATCAGCACACAATCCTATGCAATGTTTGTGATTCCCAAATTAGGTTCAGCTGTAAAATAGCATCCTAGTTAGAAATTAAAGGGGGAGATTGGAGAGAAGGATTTTAAAAAGATCAAGGACTCAAGGACAGAGGTACCAGAAGATAGTTTTCTAACAACAAAAGGCAACAGGAATGGAGAGTCATTTGAAGTCTCAGCCTTTCTTTCAGTTTTTAACACAACTCTGGGAACAAGCTGAAATGAGAGAGTTACTGACTCAAAATCACCCAATGAGATTTCTCAGCTGACAGTGGACTTCAACCAGGGAATCTCCAATCTAAATACACACTATAACAAACACACTATGATAGCATTATTAATTGTAATTATACTGCTACATAATGCTACAGAAAGCTAAAACTGCTTAAGTGCTGGAAAGATTCAAGTTCTAGTACCCCCTTAGGCATGGAAGCAAGCTATAGAAGCAAGCTGACCTTGGTCCAGCCATTTCATCTCAGCTTAAATCAATGTCAAGCTCTGCAATAAGCAGCTGATCAACAAACCCTCATCACTGTTTCATGGATTAATAGCTTCACTGCAAAAACTAGGTGAGTACAATCTTAAAAAAGCAGGCCCTGCAATCACACAGGGCAAACAAGTAAGACAACTATTACTACAGCATACTAAGCATTCCCTAAGTGGTATCAACAAATTCAATATACCATTAGTGTACACTTCCAGAATATGAATAAATACTAGTTGTACATCTGTCCTCTGAAATAATATTCCCTCAGATATTTCTATAATGTCTACCTTACCAGCCTTTAAAGAAAGCATTAAAGCATTTTGTATAATTATACTTGTTCATAACTTAGATCTTCCTCTCTCTTTCTGCTGGTGGAGAGAGTTTGGTTATTTCTTTGTGTGATGCTATCTATTGCAGCAGTTGCCAACCAGTGGGTGGGCCAGGAGAAAATTTTGGTGGGCCGCAGAGAAATGTCACCCCCAGAGCACCCCCCCCCAAAGCAACTAATCCAGGCTGCACAGAAACACAAGACTGCGCCACCCACATGGCCTGCGGGAACCCTCCCCTCCCAATCACTCCTTACCTGGCAAACTTGCCTGCTAAGTTGCTACTTTTCCTCCCCCCCCCCATCAGCTGTTTTACTGTGCCAGGAGATTTAGATTAGCTAGGAAGCAGGAAATGGTTGGATTTCTTGCTTTCTAGCTAGCCTTTAGATCTTCGGCTCTGCTTTTAAGCACAGCCAAACCTCCCTTAGGACTGAAGGTTCTATTATTCAGTGCAGACTCATGGCAAGTTAATTTTATGTGACAGACTCAGGTAACTGATGATAGATAGATCAATGAATGATTCTGTGAGCAACTCAATCTGCCTGCCTGCTTTGCCTGATTTTGGGTAAAACTTGCTCCTTTTTATATAAAAAATTCAATATTTACATACATGGTGTGTTGTGAGTTAATTTTGTGAGTTTGCTTGCTAGCAAATTTTATGAATTTGCTTGCAAGCAAATTTTATGTGGCAGACTGAGCTAGCCAATGGCAGATGGATAGATCAATGAATAAATCTGTGAATCTGTGAGCAATTCAATCTGCTGTCTGCTTTGCCTGATTTTGGGTAAAAGTTGCCCTTTGTTTTATAAAAAATTCAATATTTATATCAATATTTATAATATTTACATACAAGCCATGCCCAGCCAGTCATGTCCACCAAGCCACACCCACAAATTAGGCCATGCCCACAGAACCAGTTAGTGATCCCTGGGGTTTAAAATTATGAGTTTGGTGGTCCCTGAGGTCCAAAAGGTTGGTGACCCCTGATCTATTGGGTTTTATTGTTTATAGTATTGTTTTGTACATGTTAAGTTGCCCAGAAGATAGGATAGGATAGGATAGGATAGGATAGGATAGATCCAGATTTGATAGTACATAAGTCTCCAATTTTATTTGTGAAGAAAGTATACTAGTTTCACTCATTTATTAATGCGAAAATCCTGATGGGAACTGTTTTGGCACAATTAGTTTGTTAAGAAATTTGGGACATTCAAAAATATTACCTTCCAGTTATCAATTCATATTCAGTGGAAAGGATTCTCTTATCCCCTAGAGAAAAATAGAAGACTTTGCCTTGAGCACCCCCCTGTGGGCTCAGATTAGAACTTCAAGAAAGGGTTCTTTACATTGTGTCATAATAACTCTTGCTTTATATGCTGGGAACAATATAGCGTCCCTCTAGAAGCTGTGTACTTCTCAACTTAAACTTTACTTCTATTTCTGATTATTCATATTGGAGATTTGTTCTCAAACATGTGAAATAATCATTATATGAAATAAAGTAACTTCAGCTTATGGTTTATAAGGTGGTCTGTTTCTACAAACCCAAAAGATAAATAATACTATAGGCTCCGAAATATTGCTAAGTTGTGGTTAAATAAAATTGGAAATGAAAACTTTGAAACTCTCATTGAAATATCCAAATGCAACAGGGGGGCGGGGGGGGGAATAAAACTCCTACTGAATCATATGCAAAGAAGAGTTTTTAAGGTATGTCGAAAACAGACAGAGCTAGAATTTTACCTATTGAAGTTATGGAAGTAAACTTGTTGGTCAGAAGTTCCTTGCTCCTAGCAAAAGCTACTGGACTGATTTGAAAAAAAACTTTCATTCTACCAGAAGCCTCACCTGCTAAACCTGCCTCAGAGGAATGGATCAGAGACCAAACAGCAGTCAGAGATTATTTCACCCTAAGTAGAAACCACCTTTTCCCCCTATCAGCTGGTGCTGCCAAACGTATCAGAGGGAGAAGTCCTTTTACTGCAGGGTTGTCAAACTTGCGGTCCACGGGCCGGATGCATCACATGCTGGCCACACCCACGCCCAGTTTAGCGAAGGGAGGGAAAGTCCCAATACATCACCTGATGCCGCCATGACAATGTGAGTTTGACACCCCTGTTCTATTGCATCCTGATCTTCAACCTGCTAAATTTTGTAACTAAAAAAACCTCCTTTTAATGCCTTGGTGGCTTGCTTATTTGCTTTCTCTTTTCCTTCTGCATACTGACTTTTAGCCTGTAAGCCTATGAGTAAAGTACCATTTCTGTTCTTTATAAGCTTTTCTATTTCAACAAAGAAAGAAAGAAAGGTAAAGTGACCCAGAATGGCTTTTTTTTTCCTTTTAATATCCAATTATTTAATTAAAATTCAAACTTGCTGCATAGAGGATAAAGGCTTAAGTAAATTAAAATTCAGTGTTAAATGAGGTCATACCTTGAACTCCTTCTAAAAGCAGATCAACTCCTTTTCTATAAAAGCCAAATGCAGCTTCATAATCTTCCTCTTCCTCCTTCTTCAAGGCCAGCTTTATCAGTTCTCCAGCTTTGTCCAAGTAATCTCTTCTGCCAAGTTTGGCCTTCAAGCTCCCAGTGAATAAACCCCGACTCTCCCTCTCACTCTCAGATTTGCTCCGTTCATGATCTAAAATGGCAGATGCCAATACTGCAGGTTCAGCAGCAAAGCTGAGACCAAGTGATGTGCTGGGGGAATCCTGGTTAGAAGCCATTCCATCATCTAACTCAACAAGAGAATCTGCATCAATGGTCAAAGAAATCAAGTCACTGTCACTGGATAAACCTGTAATGCAAGGAAAGAATGGCAAGCGAAGGAATTAATGTTCTTCTCCCTTTGTCCTCTAAAGAAACCCTACTAGCAAGTCTTAATTTAGAAGGTGAGTACAAGAAGTATCCATGAAAGATATTAACTATTTTAGCCTCAGATCACTGCTTCTAAAAAAGATAGTGGTCTTTCTTTTATATGGTGATTAGATGTGATATACTTTAAGCACTCAGAAAGTATATCATAAACTCTAATGATGATGAAAATTTTTGATGAAGATCATACAATTCATAACTTATTTTTGTTCAACCTAAATTATATAACCTATTCCACTGGTGAGTATAAAAAAAAAGTACTCTGCCAGGTTAAACTAAAAATCGGTCTAGTTGAGAATTTAATTCATACTATGGCTCAAGAAAAGCCCACTGGAGACCATCACTCATGCAGCCCAACAATTAACTTTGAGAAATGTATGGCTATGGAGGTAGAGTTATTGCCATGTATAGGCAATATGTCTTGCCACCAGTGACAATTTTTCCTGTTTGAATTTATTTAATTTTCTTTCAAATCATTCTAGGTCAGTGATTATTATCAAAAAACTTGGGATGCTACTTCTATAATTCCAGGTGAAGAAATGCTTCTTTTTATCTGTTGCAAACCTCCTAACATTGGATTTATTGGATGAATCCAAGTTCCAATTCAATGGGAAAGGAATACAATCTTCTTTGTCCATTTCCATTATTGTTTATATTATGCAAAGCTGATGAATCTTTTTTTAACCTAATCTAATAAGTCTCAGTGTAAATATCTATGAAGTTTCTCAATCATCCAGGTCATGGTTGTCCTAAAGGGAGTGTTCAAAAGGCAACTGGGCTTTCTTAGGTGGGGGGGTTTCCCCTTGAAAACATTCCGCTTCTGATCCAAAAAGCTTCTTCAGTTCTTCAGAAGTGAAATGTATTCAAGCGAAAAAAAACCAAGAAAGTACAGAACAAACCAAGAAAGATTGCCTTTTGAACAGCATCTTTGGGACAAGTCTCGGTGCAATATTCCTCATAAAGGAGTGATAGATTTGCTTTATTACAATTTCTGTCTGAACAATTAAAGCACAGTTGGTAAAAATATACTTTATCTATCTATATTAGCTGTCCAGGATATTTTGACAGTATTTCAGACTGCTGAACCTACCCATACCTCAATATTTCTTCTTCTTTAGTGGTTCTCCAAGAGATTTGGCTCCTAGGTTATTGAGTAACATAATTTTCTCAAAGTACATAATGACATTTAATAGTCACTCATCTTTCTTTTAACAAGTAAATAAAATGCAGTAAGCAGGTGAATAACACTAAAATAGCCCCCATTGCTTGGAGATTTATAATCTGTATTCCTGCCTCTATTTAGAGCACTTTTGTAAATAAATTGATGGAATAGTCCAAAAGTCACTGATGATTTGAATAAGATGCTTATTTGTACACCAATTCATATTCAGTGGACAACTTATTTTATTGCTGTAAAATAGAGCCGGTGTAAAATTAGAGCATTCCAAAAGTTCTCATACTGAAAGTGTAGACCAGATGAGCATTATGCAAAACTCAAATTAAAAGAACCAGTGAAGTAGCACAGCTTGAAATTGAAGTCAAAATCTGGTAAACCTCCAGTTAAAATCTGTCTTCTGCCAAAAATGAATTTGGCGATCTTAAGCTGGAGGAGATGAGCAATAGTTTAATAGAAAGGCCAATGTTTTGCACATAGAATGTCTCAGATTATAGCAACTTGCGCTCTCTCTCTCTCTCTCTGACACTACGACAAATCAGGATGAATTCTTTATGGTCATTCTTGCCCTTGTACCTCTCATCTATATTGCTACAAGTTTGCATTACACGGAGCTGAGGGCTATTCAGAAATTTTTAGCTTGCATGTTAATGGGTTCCGCTTTGTGTTCCCTATGTGATAGTGTTACTGTGGAAGCTGACTTGATTGCCAATAAGATCCAAATGCAATCCATTGTGTTGGTGTTCCTTAAAAGCCCCATTTAGCTTGGAATCTGGTAATGTTCAAAACTGTACACTGCAAGTAGAGTCCACCCTAAAGGGCTGGTGCATTATGGGTACATCTCTTTTTTTTTTCAATTAAATAATGAATTAACCAAACACTGCTCAATTTACTCCATTCTTTCTTACCTCCATATTCTGACTGGCTAAGCGTCACTTCATCAAGGACATCTTTCCGAGCTATAGAAACAAAAATAAAATGAAGCCAACATTAATTACGCATAGGTTTGACAAAGGAGAGTCTTAGGAAATTCTAAAAAATAACGGGGGAAAGGGGCACAGTTTGTTGGGTATAAGTACTCTAGAAAAATATAAATGTTTTATTATAAAAGCCTAAACCAGGTTCTCTCAACCATTCACCCTTCAGATATGTAGGATTTCCAACTAACCTGATCAATGACCTATACTGAAGATGCACCACAAGTCTATAAGTGTTCGGATATCTGATCTGTATTTTCCCCTGATATTCTTGTTTTCATCCAAGTCTCTATTTCTTTTCAGATTTTACATTAAGTTCTACTGCATTTTTTACCAGAACCTCATTTGGTGAATCCCCCTAAAGAGCACTGGCTATTGGATGATCTAGAAATGCACCAAAAAGCCAATCATAAAGAGGATTATGAGGATCATTTACAGTCAGAACATTAGATTAAAAATTGCCTGAACAGTTATTGCTACAATAGGTGTTATTCCATCATTGTTTCTGCACAACAGAGAAAACCAAACCAGGAAAAATTTACTTCTTGCACAATCAAGAAAATTAGAACTGAAATATAATGCTGCCATCTAGAGGAGATGAAAGATTAAGAGACCATAAGAAGTTGTTACCAAATCTAATTTAAATGTGACAGAAAGACAGGAAATGTTAAGGCATGACTGAAAAGTATTGACATATTTTATTGTTTTCTTCTTACAGATCCCTTCTTTCTGCCCACTTGGGGAAACAAAGAAAGAAAGAATATATCAAAATAGTTAAAATTCCAATTTAGATTTAATTCTATTTTGGAGAAATGGGTGTCCAGCATGCCACTCAAAAAGCCAAGGAAACAATTGCATAATATATTAAATCAGGATTGTTTCGATCTCAGTGCACCATGGAGATCAAGGGGTCCAAATGTACTATATAAAATTCCTCAACTGCCTTTCCCAAAAGAAACTAGAGTTTAAAAAAATCTGGAACTAGATTACAAAAAGTTAGAAGAGACAGCCAACCTTCAGAACTGCAGGTAGATAAGCTGTCTGTCAGAGAGTCTACCAGAGGTTCTGCAGGACCAATCAATTCAGATCCATCATGCACCTCTCCATCCTTAAAATATAGAGAAACAATATACATAGATGGAGGGAGGGAGGGAGGGAGGGAGGGAGGGAGAGGGAGAAGGAGAGGGAGAGAGAGAGATTTCAAGTTGGTAAAGATTAATTTTAAATTATTTCCAGATTCAATCCAAGTATACATTGAAAGAAAGAATAGTCAATAAAATCAAAAGTATTCCTAAATCAAATTGACTGATTTACAACACCTTCCAGCTGACATATATTCCCATCCTAGAAAAATGAAATTGAAGAGTGCCATCTGTTTTCAAAAAGATCTCATTTTAAAGCAACAATATTAGCTTTTAGGATAAAATAGATTTTTAAACACAAGAGGCATTCTGGCTATACACAAAATTCCTCAAAGAGGCTTAGAACTTCCTCATTAAACAATCTGCATGGATACATCAAAGAGTGCATAACCCACCAGATCCCTGCTCCATCTGCTAGAAAAGAAAGCTGTCTTATCTTAAATTAATTGTCGCCCATGTTTTAGTTTGATATCTCTCGAATCAGAATGGTTCTCCACTAGAAAATATCTTTGCTGGTTTTTATATCAGCTTAGCAGCCTTATTCTTGTTGTACCAATTTAATTGTTACACCATAATTATAAATTATAATGAACTCCATTGTAAACCTACCACTATGTTTACCAGTCACACAAAAGGTTGTGATTTCTCAGTCAGGTTTATATAAAACGCATTTTGGCTTCCCAACACAGTTGGACTGTATATGATACAGTTGAGCTTAAGCACATCTGGATCTGATTAGAACCTAGGCAAAGCCTGGGTTCTCCATGCTTGTCTCTCTAATCTCTCATGGAAGAAATACTGGATGTACATAAACAAGCTTCCCTGACCACAGTTTGGTATGATATGTGAAGTTAGCCAAAACCAAATGGATCAGATCTGGACTGCAAAATTCTGCATGGTTATCAAGAGTAGCAAAAAAGTACAGAATACATATATAGAGGCTTTGCTGCCATCTTAGGGATGTCTGGATATTTGCAGCTCTAGGGAACATAATATTCCCTATTATGGGGGAGTTTGGGTGTCTACAGGAAAGATCAAGGAGGAACAAATGACATGAACTTAATGCTACAGAATATCTGATTTTTGCATTATCTTGACATAATTACTTTATTGCATTTGCATTGCCAACTGACATCATCTCTGTTTGCTAAAAAAACACTTAATAGAATATCAGCAATGTGCAGTTACCAATCTAGCTGCTAACTATTAGACACTCTCTTTACTTCCAATGTGCATCAATAATATAGTTAAGGCAGAAAATAGTAGCAAAGTTGTTTGTCTATTTAATATAATCTATAGGGTACTTTATTCATTTGTTTCACAATATTTGTATACTGTCCCAATCGAAAATTCTCTGGTTGTTCTTCATTCTAATAAAGTGCATTTCTGTTTTATATCATATAGAGAATGATTTGTAATAGTAACTATCAGTTTAGCCTACTTACATCACCCAGAACTCTATTTTAAACAGGCATAATTTTCTGAATAAGTGGTTGCATATGGGGGTATGAAAGAATGGAGATTTTATGTTTGTTTGTTTGTTGCCATACTATAGAGAATCTGTTTCAGCCTTAGGTCAATCCTGAGAACCTATTATTTGCAACTGTTAGATGGGAAGTTGAGGCTATGGATAGCTGCCCTTGAGCAAATACACAGAGATTGCTTACATTTTCCTGATATTTATGGTAAACTGCATTTTTTATTTTTTGTTTTAAATATGATTCTACATTGTGTAAGCCGCCTTGAATCGCCATGCGCGAATAGGTGGCAATATAAATCAAATAAATAAATAAATAAATTTGTACTAGTTTTTGCAGAGCAATAGCACTATGAACAAGCATTCCACTCACACAGTGAAATGAAATAATCTATTAGACAGGCTAGCTGAAAAAAGATTAACCTTAAAGAAATCTTCAAGCTGCTTGCTATTGTAGAGCATGGGGATGTTAGCAGAAAACTGAAGCAAATCTTCCGCGCACTGTCTTCTCTCTTCAATCACACCTTCTTCAAATCGCCCTGAAACACAAATAAAATCAACATTCTGAGAAAAAAGCTGGGTTTTTTTCTGACAAAAATCTTTTATGAGGAAAAAAAGGACTTGCATCTACAACTGCTTCAGGAGACCAGATCAAATATCTGGGCTCAAATGTCCCAGAATGTTTTACCATCTATTGAAGATACATATAATTTGGCAGCCCTAATGGATTGTATAGCTCCATTTTTTATGAGAACATGTTGACCAGCCAATAAAACACTATCAAAAATAAATAAATGAGAGAATCTATTCTGTACTGTGCCCACTTCAACCCTAATCCCTTATGGTTGCAGACTTCAGCTATTTGGTTGGTGATAAAAACAAAAGACTTGGATTCTGAATTTCTCTTCACTGAACATCATGCATACAACAGTCTTGCTACTAGAAGACTAGACACTTAACAGACTCCATGGTCAAGTCTCATCTCCTGGCAATGTTTCTATTTGAGAAAGAGAGGGTGCCATTTCAGCTGGGTACTGATAAATGCCAATTCATCCAGCTGCTTTATCCAATGAGTGAAGCAAAACAGAAAAGTAGGCTGCCCTTCATCAGTCTACTGGCAGCTGGTTTGTTTCTCTCCTATAATGATCCTCAAAAAGGGAAGATCAACTAGCCAGGGCAAATGCAATGTTCATTTTAAAAAAGGCAGGAAGCAAGAGTCCAATTACAGTGTTGTAGCTATCCCTTGGTGTGTGTGTTTTTAACTGTATTTTTGCAAATGCTGACTCTAAAACATCTTCCACAGGAAGTTGTCTTTTGTCCTTCTCATTTTTCTGGTTATTATATTATATATTCACAGGAAGACTTTGAGACTAAAAAACCTTTTCAGTCAAATTTGATACATAGATCAAGCTAATGCACATAAGCCCCAATTGGTTAGGTTCACACATCTTACGAAGTTCAAACCCACTACATTATAGCTTAGCACACTATACTTCATTACATTGTTCTTTTAAAGATTTACTATACTTATTTCTTTTTTGTATTGTTACTTTAGTATTTTACTACTATTTTATCAATTACTTTAATTTACCATTGTTGATTACCTTGAACAAAACTGAGGAAAGACAGGGTATACACATTTTAAATTTTAAACAACCTTCAGTACTTCTATTTTTATTATGTCCAATATTGGATTACCAGTTCAGTTTGGACACTGTTAACTATGGTTTGTACCAATTCTAAAATGAGAAGACACTACAAATGATTTTGGCTTCGAGACAAGTTACAGGAAAACCAGGTTTTAGAGCTGCTTGATAATATCCACATCCATTTACTCAATACTCAGCTTCCTAAATGTTTAATTTTATCACTGTATCCATGATACAATGGCTTCTTGAAGTAGATAAATTATGCTGAATGTCTGCCTGTGTATCTAAGAACAGTGCCTCAAAAGAAGACATCATTACTAGACTGGTTGATCACAGAAACTAAGTAGAGTCATCCTTGGTCAGGTAAAGGGAGGTTGTCTGAGAATTCCAGTTGGCAGATGACACTCAGAAGTTGAAGTTGAAAAACATCCCAGAAAAATGTTTTCCATAATATATCCAATCTATTCCATAATAATGCCAAGAAAACTACAGGAAGATGGTCACCAGAAATCAAGGGAAAATATTTTTATTTTATTTTATACAAGAATAAGGAATAGAAAAGTTACATAGCACCACTGCCATAAAAATACATAACTATCAAATCTTATCCAGGAAAAAGTACTATTTTTATTTTTTGCTTTTTAGAGGTATATATTTTTTAAAAGGGAGAGATATGGATAATCTATCAAGATCAAGAATGAAGACAATTACCACCACATTATAAATTGAGGAAATTATTGTTCTTTCAGAAAGATTACGTATTTCAATGATTGAATCATGGATCTAATCTGAGCATATCAGCATTGGATGACAGTAAAATGACAGACATATCTGAATGTCCTCCTTTTATTACCCAGTCTTTATCCTTTACATCTTTTCCTCCAAGGAGCTCAGAGCAGTGTGCATAAACATCTCTCGAAAAAGATGCAAAATATGCACACACATATATGCACACTTTTTTTAACTGACAACAGTCCCAAGAGGCAAGATAAACTGAAAGACAATGAAAGGCAAAACCTCAACTAGTCAGCCTCTTGATCAAATTGAGATTTCATTCAGAGTCTCCCTAATCCCAATTGAATGTTCTCGGCACTGCACTGTAATAGTTTACAGTTTATATTCTCCTCATTTTTTCCAAAATCAGAAAAAAAACAACAGCACTTGAGCACCTCAGAAGAGGACATCTTGTCCAAAGTTATATCAGACATGTATTTTAAAACGTTTTTCAATATCAACATGCTTATAAATTCAAAAAATTCAAGAACAAAGAAGTTTATATCCAAATAATAAAAATATGCTATTGGGACATCCAACAGTTTACTTGTGGGACTGCCTCTCCCTGAGGATATCTCTCCTGGGTGCATTCCAGGTCCCCTTCCTTAAATGTATCCATCTGATGGGACCTCAGAGGCATGCTTTATCGGTGGTCACCCCAAGTCTTTTGGAACAGCCTCTGACTGGAAATCAGGGGAACCCCTAATCTTTTGGCAAATTTGGGCACTTGGCAACGAGCATTTGTGATCACTGTAGCATCCCATGATCACATGATCACCATTTGCATACTTCACATCCCATTTCCAACAGAGTCAATAGAGAAGCCAGAAGTAAAATCACAAATTGTGGTCATGTGTTGTCTAACTGTAATCATTGCAGTGATTCACTTAATGATCACAGCGGGAATTACATAGTTGTCAGTTCTAAATGTGATTGTTAAATGAGTATTACCTATATTATTTCATAATTTCATTAATCAAAGTCCTTTTAAAATTTTAATCAGCAGAGCATAATGGGAACTTACGGTGGTTTCTAAACAATTACAAGAAAAGGGTATAGAAGGAGTTCAACATAAACATTAAAAAGCATGTTTTTTCTATCATTCAGCTATAAGAAAATATTTGAAAAGAACACTATACTTAAGTATTAGCAAGTAAATAAAATATTCTACATTTTCCTGGAGTGATTAATGTCAAACAAGTAAAGACTCTTTCACACACAGAACCACCCTCACAACCAAACACATTTTACAGGCACACAAATGTACTTCTTCCTCTTTCCAATGGAAACAGCAAAAAATAAAGAAAAACAGAATGAAGATATAGCAAGAAGAACAGGTGGCTACAGCAGAAACAGAATGAAGACAAAGAGGAAATTTGATGGAGGAGCTATGCAAACAAAAATTAGCTAGAGGGAGAACAAAACAAAAGAATACAACCTCTGCTTAGGCATTACAGTTTAACAAGGCAATTTAACTAGCCAAGCAGTCCTCAGATAATGATATTCAGGCTTATGTGAATATCAGGTTTTTCAGCAGAGATAACTGCAGACATCACACTCTGACCCAACTGTTTGTTTTCAACAGTTCCTTATATTTATGTCAAGAATATAAGACAAATTATGATTTGGAACTGATCAAGACTAAGAAAATGGTTTATATATAAATTAACACTGGCCCACAATTAGATCCAGAATCAGGAATTGAAATCTGTACAAATGAGGTTTATACAGTAACAAGTTATCTTGACATTCTAATTGTAATTAGAATCTAGACTTCCGGTGATGTCTTCCTCGCTGACAGACCAGAGACCGCAATCTTGCGCGGCTTTGATGTGTGCTCTCCCATAGGAGGGCCCCGATCACCTGCATTTGGGGCCAGAACCACCCTGTAGGGATGATGAAGAAAGGGGAGAGCGCCAGCTGGATCAAGGGGAGCTGCATCTCCCCTCCTTGGCTAGGCATATTCCCCTCTGAAGACGGCTCTAACGGTGGTCAAATATGGCCACCCTGAACAGAAGAGCTAACCGGGACAAGATTGTGCAGGAGCAGTGAAGAAGAGGACAGCATGAAAATCGGGCTAATCAAGTGCAACATTTAAACACAAAATTTTAAGGAATTTTTAAGAGAAATAATCAAAGCAGCGGCCAGAGAAAGTGAAGAAAAAAATTTTGACAGCTGAAAGTGGCGTTGAACTTTGAAAGGAAGAAGCCAGAAGAAGATACCTGTTTAAATTGGATAAATATATGATCTTGACACTAAATAGGCATAACTAAAGCTGAATTTGAACATGTCAAAGAAAAAAGAAAAAAACAGTAATTGATATTTGGACTTATTGGAATTTTGAATTTTAAAAGCCTTAAATAGAGAGAAAATGCGGGGGGGGGGAGTAGAATTTGGACATAACAGAGAGTGCCATCTATGGTAAAATAAATTATTTGTGATTCTATAACCTGGCTCTCTTAAAAGTTGGATCTGATACAAAGCAAGTGAAATTTTGTTACAATAAAATAGAGACCCTGGAAAGTGAAAGTGGAATATTGAATATTAAAATAAAGAAAGAAGCAGGAAGAAACTATCTTGGGATTGTTGGTGATCTTGGCATAAACTTAAATTTATGGATAGTGGACTATTTAATGAATCTGGGCAAACCTAAAGAGGAATTAATAAAATGTGATTGTTGGAAATAAATTCTATAGACATTGGTTGAATCAAAGTACTGGACAGAAGTGTTTAAAAGTGGCAGAACTTTTTTTTACACAGAGATAAATGGAATAAATGTGAAAAAAGAGAAATTATGATAAGTTTATTAACTATGTTTAGTTAATGTATAGAATATAGTTGAAATGAATTATGAGGATTGTTATAATGGGATTAATATCAGTTTTTATGATGAATTGAATAGATTAATTTTTCTTTTTGAAATTATAAATGTTTCCAATGTAACTGAAGGGGAAAGTACCATGCAGAATCTGACTTAAAAGGTATATATGTTATGTAGTTGCTAGGAGATTATTGTTAATTTTAAGGTGATAATTAAAAAGTTAAATGATTACTGGGATTTAAAGGAGAACTAATTAAATGATATATAAGGTATAGGGGTGGCACACTCTAATTGGTAATTGTGGGGGGAACTTTTTTGAAATGTTTGAATTGAGATGGAATTTTTGAAATGATGAAATAAGAATATGCAATGAAATTGCAAACCTGACAGATAAAAGTATAAAGTACAATGGATATGAAGATAGGAGAATTATTTAAAATTAAAAGAAATGGGTTAAGAAATGAATTGAAAAATTATAAAATAAACTTGAGGAAAGTATTTGGAAAAAATAATAGAAAATATGTAAAGTAATGGTAAGATATGAAATTAAATGTGAAAGATGAATATGTAATCAAATTCATGTTTGTATGGAAATGTGAAAACCTGGAATCATGCTGTTCACTAAAAAAAGATGTTTTTAAAATGTGGAAAACTGAAATAAAACTTTTTATTTAAAAAAAAAAGAATCTATAATGAGATATACAATGGATATCTAATACATATAGGACATATTATTACTTTGTGCCCAAGTCTGGCTCTTGATCCTTGTGGACAAGTCCCTGCAGTTTTCTTGGGAACATTTTTCAGAAGTGGTTTGCCATTGCTTGACAATCCAATTATTTTATTTCATGATGAACAAAAATATATTCCCAAATTATTTAATGATTTGAAAAAGATGCTTACCAAATACTATTGCTTTAGCAAAAGGAGGAAACAATTCTGTATGCCTGAATAAGTGCTTATGAATCTGCCAGAGTTCTTTGTGCAATTTCTTAAAGTCACTGTATCTCTTCCAAACGACTATCTGAAGCAAAATAAAAAAAAACAGAAAACAAAAACACCCATGAGGCAATTAGTCCTTCTAATAAAGCATTTATAAAAATTACAAAATAGCAGAAACCATTACAGCCACCAAAAATATTAGCCAGCAATATAAACCTAGATTTTGCTGTGATATCCTTTTTCCTTCCCTCCCTTTTTCTACTTGAAGAACAGATCTACTAAGACGTACCAAGTAAGAATTTTAATCCAGGAAATCACTTAATACTTAATTTTGTTCATAAACTAATGGAGAGAATTCTAATTGAATTCTTACCTAATAATGTATTTAAATACAGTTTAGTCATGTAAAATATATATTTTAATGTACAGTTTCAGCCTATTTTAAATCTGTAAATAACTGCACAAAAATAGTAAGGTTAAAAAAAGGTTAAAGTTTCCTTTGTCCAGTTGTGTCTGACTTAAGGGGAGCAATGCTCAGCGCTGTTTTCCTAGCCAAGGGAGCCAGCATTGTCTGAAAACAGTTCTATGATGATGTGGCTATATGTCGAGGCACACAGAATGCTGTTACAGTCCCACCGAAGTGGTACCTATTTATCTCCTTGTATTTGCATGCTTTTGAACTTCAAGGTTGAGAGGAGCTGGGGCAAAAATGGGAGTTTGCCCATCATGCAATAAGCCTGAATTCATATTCATATCCCCACTCTCTCTCCCTCTCCTTCGCTTTCTCTCTCTCTCTCTTACTCTCTTTTGCAAAGCTACTCACATAACCCTATCTCTTTTCTGCAACCTATCGTTATGTTTTCCAATGGATTTATTTGTAGTAAAAATCCAGTGCCAGCCTGGAATTCTTAACTGTTTCTTAATAATTACTTTTTCTTGTTAGGGGCACCAAGATCCCATGTACCCCATATTGTACACCTACATTTGCACAAACACAAATTATTAAAAAGATAACATTATTCAGAATGTATAAATTCAAAGGCATATATAGCCATTCCACCATTCCCTTTTGGAATAAGTAACACAGAATGCAGAAAAGAAGTAGGAAATAGGAAACCACAGAAATTAGAGTTATGAAATAAAAAAAAGAAAGGTATCGTAGTTAAAATTAGTACACAGTAACACCATTCTCTTATTATATTTCTGCATACCTTTCTAGTCTTGCACATCATCCTTGTTTCCTCCACCACTTTACGTACTACATTTTAAATTTCTTATCCCTCTGTTCTTGGACATCTCATCAATTCCATTCAACCCTTCCTTTCTCAATCTTTCCCTTCCTCCTATCCAAGTCACTCTTCTTTTACACTTCTCTATATTTCAACCCGTTCCGATTCTCCCCCCCATACAGATAGTCCTGTTTAACAACCGTTGTCAGCTGTGGTGATAAATGCAATATTACAACCTATCCTCCCATTTACAACTTTTGCAGGTCTGTAAAGCAAAGCAAAGCTGAAATAAGATCACAAGCATAGTCACAGTTTCACTGAAAGATGCCTAGCTTAATAACAAAGTTCCAATTGTGGTCATTAAATGAGGACTACCTGTATATGATCAAAGCAACTTTGTATATTTCTTTCATTCTGGTCAATCACTTTTGCATTCAATCCACATTCATTCAGCACCCATGTTATTATTTACACGTTCTGTTAAGTCCTCAATTCCCACTGCCTTCAAACTACTTTTTGCCATGATGTACTTAAATCTCTCTGCCCTATAGTAGAGTGGACAGAAGTACACTCCTCAACCCTTTTCATTTCTTTTGACAAACATTTATCCCTAACAGCAGACCACAACTGCTTATTATCTTTCTACAAACATTTTGCATATTTTAATGTTTTTCTATTTTAACCTAGTGCCCCTGTTGTCCACCACTCAGTACTGAACTATTTTTTAATATATCTATAGCATATGTAAGAATTAAACATTATTCCAGATATTGGTGCTCAAAGATTTTATTCAGTACAGATTTAGAAGTGACAGTCCTAATTTGCATCTTCCAGATAAAAATTCCGATCAGAAAGAATAAGAAACACTCTTGGCAATTCTGTCTTTCTTCTGTTTCTCTGACGCTGTTTCCAACTCCATGAAATGTTAAAACGCTAAAAGAACATGATTGTATATCATGTATTTTACTACTGTATAAAATATTTTCCTAGCCTTAGAACTTTTTATACATAGTTATACAGTGTGCAGCTAGGAAAAAGACCTGCCAAGCTCAACAGAAACATCTATGCTATTTGCTCAAAAGAAGGAAAAAAAAGGTAAAAAAAATTATTTAAAGCTTTTGGGCTAGGCTAGATTTTTTTTTATAATAACACCAAAGTGCTGTTTATAATTGTAAACATTAAACTTGTTTTTAAAAAAGTTAAAATAAATAAGTAGCCAGAAGACATACGTTTCCAGTTTCGGCCTTATGCAGAGTCTATAAGTTATCTGTTTGCCAGTATCAAATGATATTAACCAATTATCATATTTGCCAAAGCAAATGAAATATCTCCACTGAATAACAAGCCAGGAAGTGTTTTTGAATATATATTTTTTAAAAACACTACACTAAAACACTAAATTCAACATGAATATATAGGCCAACTAGATCTAACAAGGCAAATCATTCTAAAAATCTAGATGAAGTAGCATCATATAATACAGATAAATAATGTATTAATTATCTTACATTAAGTTACATGAATTTGAAAGGCTAGAGTTTGTGGCATTGATATATTTTTGATATTATTGCACATACTATATTTTTAGAGTTGGAAGGACTGAATCCATAAAAGCACGTTAAATAAACAAATAAGTAAATAAGCAAGCAAGCATGAAGATAGTTGGGGGAATATGTTGTAAGGGCCTTGTACTCCTTGCAATGGTCAAATGGTCAATTTCTCCTCTCCAGCCCTCTTCAGGGTGGGATGAGTATAAGGGGTTTCCTTATACCCCATCCCATTCTCTCACTCAGGAGGTAGGCTATAAGCCTCTTCCATATTCCTCCCTTCTTCCACCTAACCATCCTCTGCTCATATCCTCTTCCATTTCCTATCCAATCACAGACCCCACAATTTTTCCATATACTCCAAGCAATCTTTCCTGCTCCTTTTTTTCCACCGCAACTCCAGTCTGTAGCATTCTTTCCATCTTCATCTTCCCCACTCTTGTCTCCAACAGTCTTTAATCTAATTTTCTCCAAAGATTCCTCCAACTCTAATCTGTAGCACAGTCCTAGTCGAATTTTCTTCTAGTTCCTTCTCTTTCTGTTTCACAGTATATGGAGTTTTAATTCTTCCCTTCTAAGTTCTGATTCTGAGGAAGATTCTGATCATCAGGGCTGAATTTATCACTGGGATTGGTAAACACCCTGCCTGCAAGAAGATGTTCTTTCAACTCTTTGAATGTTGGGAGGTTGCTGATGAAATTCACTGAGACTGCAATGGAGGAAAAATGTGTCCTCTACTGCATCCTGTCTTAACAGACTAGCCTTCTCTGAGATCGAAGCTAAGCTCGGTTGGACAAGGAATACCAGACTGTACCCTAAAATGACAGGTTGAAGAATCATCCTAAAAGAAGCAATACATGCTATGTCCATACTACTGCCAAATAAATTACATATACAGTATATGTGCATAAAAGAGACTTTATTTTTTCAGTCTCCACACTACATACACATTAAACACTCTCCCTTAATATTATTTAAAAATAAAATAAGATTACCTGATTTACAATTAACACGACAAGGGATAAATCTCAGCTTTTGTTGGAATTGCAACTGTGAGGAAAATGATTACACTTTCCCAACTTACATATTGGAGTGATAATTAAATATAAATGGATTCTTTTTAAAACAAAAAACAAACTGGCACTTCATGCTATGCACTTAGCACAATGAGCAAGAGCCCTCATCTTTGCCTTCAGCTTATCTCAGTCAAATAGAACATCTTCAATTGAACTTGCTACAATCAATTCTATCATCATATTGCTTCCAAGTTTATTTGTCTTTTTTTATGAGGACTCCAAATTCTTCCTTTGCTTGATTTCTAATTCCTTGTCTCCTAGTCAACTCATTTTCTTCTTAACTGGAACTTACTATATAGTTGCGATTCTTTGTGCCTGACAAAGCCAACTGTACAGGAATATAGACTACAGGTGAAACTCAAAAAATTAGAATATTGTGCAAAAGTTCATTTATTTCCATAATGCAACTTAAAAGGTGAATTTAATATATGAGATAGACTCATTACATGCAAAGCAAGGTAGTTCAAGCCATGATTTGTCATAATTGAGAAGATTATGGCTTACAGCTCATGAAAACCCCAAATCCACAATCTCAGAAAATTAGAATATTGTGAAAAGGTTCAATATTCTAGGCTCAAAGTGTCCCACTCTATTCAGTTAATTAAGCCATAACACCTGCAAAGGGTTCCTGAGACCTTAAATGGTCTTTCAATCTGATTCAGTAGGAAGCACAATCATGGGAAAGACTGCTGACCTGACAGTTGTGCAGAAAACCATCATTGACACCCTCCATAAGGAGGGAAAGCCTCAAAAGGTAATTGCAAAAGAAGTTGGATGTTCCCAAAGTGCTGTATCAAAGCACATTAATAGAAAGTTATGCGGAAGGGAAAAGTGTAGAAGAAAAAGGTGCACAAGCAGCAGGGATGACTGCAGCCTGGAGAGGATTGTCAGGAAAAGGCCATTCAAAAGTGTTGGGGACTTTCACAAGGAGTGGACTGAGGCTCGAGTCAGTGCATCAAGAGCCACCACACACAGACAGATCCTGGACATCGGCTTCAAATGTCGTATTCCTCTTGTCAAGCCGTTCCTAAACAACAAACGTCAGAAGCATCTTACCTGGGCTAAAGAAAAACAGACCTGGTCTGTTGCTCAGTGGTCCCAAGTCCTCTTTTCTGATGAGAGCAACTTTTGCATCTCATTTGGAAACCAAGGAGCCAGAGTCTGGAGGAAGAATGGAGAGGCACACGCTGCAAGATGCTTGAAGTCCAGTGTGCAGTTTCCACAGTCTGTGTTAATTTGGGGAGCCATGTCATCTGCTGGTGTTGGTCCACTGTGCTTCATTAAGTTCAAGGTCAACGCAGCCATCTACCAGCAGATTTTGGAGCACTTCATGCTTCCTTCCACAGACGAGCTTTATGGGAATGCTGACTTCATTTTCCAGCAGGACTTGGCACCTGCCCACACTGCCAAAAGTACCAAAACCTGGTTCAATAACCGTGGGATTACTGCCAGCAAACTCGCCTGACCTGAATCCCATAGAGAATCTATGGGGCATTGCCAAGAGAAAGATGAGAGACATGAGACTGAACAATGCAGAAGAGCTGAAGGTCTTCCATAACACCTCAGCAGTGCCACAGGCTGATAGCTTCCATGCCACGCCACATTGAGGCACTAATTGCTGCAAAAGGGGGCCAAACCAAGTACTGAGTACATATGCATGCTTATACTTTTCAGAGGTCTGATATTGTTCTATGTACAATCCTTGTTTTATTGATTGCATGTAATATTCTAATTTTCTGAGACTGTGGATTTGGGGTTTTCATGAGCTGTAAGCCATAATCATCTCAATTATGACAAATCGTGGCTTGAACTATCTTGCTTTGCATTTAATGAGTCTATCTCATATATTAATTTCATCTTTTAAGTTGCATTACTGAAATAAATGAACGTTTGCACGATATTCTAATTTTTCGAGTTTCACCTGTAGAATACAGAAGAACAGAGTTGGTAGGGACTTTGGAAGTCTTTAGTCCAACCCCCTGATACAACATTCCGTGCAAATGGCTACCCAATTTCTTCTTAAAAAGCTCCAGTGATGAAGCTACCACAATTTCTGGAGGCAAACCATTCCACTGATTAATTGTTCTCACTGTCAAGAAATTACTCCTTAGGTCTAGGTTGGTTCTCTCCTTGGTAAGTCTCTAAGACTTTTTGTCTTGCCCTCAAATGCTTTGGAGAATAGGTTGAGCCCCTCTTTTTGTGACATCTGCTGAAACTATACACACAAAATGTGTCCAGACAATTCAGGAAACCTGCTGGGCACATTATTCACATAACAGGATAAAAGTCTCTCCCCCTTCGATATGGAACTGCAGAAGGAATATTTTTCATTTTGTCCATTTGTTTCATTTGTTCATTTGAGCCAACGCTTAGAAGAATTTTCTAAACTTCCTCAGTGTTTTACAAATAAATCTTTGTCAAAATACATTCACTATAGTGTGCTGGTCTTTGATCATAAAAAGATTTAATTTGAACATATATCAGAATGATAATCAGGGATGACAAACTGTATACTGATTAAATGTTGGGCTTTCAGGGAGAATCTGAGCTATGATTAACTTTCTAGCTCTCCATTCCCTCCTCCCATCCCAACCACAATGGACAGTGGTGGCATTCAATTTTTTTTTACTACTGGTTCTGTGGGCGTGGCTTGGTGGGCATGGTGTGGCTTGGTGGGCGTGGCAGGGAAAAGATACTGCAAAATACCCATTCCCACCCACTCCAGGGGAAGGATACTGTAAAATCTCCATTCTCTCCCCACCCCACTAATCTGCTTTCCAGCTCGGTTCTCCTGCACAGGGCAACAAAAAAATACCCAGCTGATCAGCTGGGACTCAGGAGGCAGAGAATAGATGGGGGCGGGCCAGTCAGAGATAGTATTCCGAACTACTCAAAATTTCCGCTACCAGTTCTCTGAGCTCCTCAAAATTTCCGCTACCAGTTCTCCTCAGGAATACATATCACCAATTTCACCAACCTTTAGCTGTGGAACCAAAGAGGCTGCTGTGGGCTGTCTTATTCTGTTCTTTTTATGAATGTTTTCAGAGTTATCATAATTGCCTTCATCACTCTGCTTTGTTTGCTATCAACCCCATTTTACTTTCTCCTTAGGAACACATACTGGTTCAGAAATAAGCACACTGCATTAGTCACTGAATGCATATTTGTAAAGGGGCCAAAATCAATGCCTTCCGGTCAGTTAAAAAGGTCAGAAAACGGGATAAGAATGACCTCTACCTGGGAGTCTGAAACCAGAGAAGATAAATACTGGGCTGTATGATCTGGTCTGGTCTAGAATAAGGAACTTTTAAAATTTTCCTTCATTCTTTATCAAAACTGTTTTGTATTCCTTTCCTCTCATCTTGTAACACCTTAAAATTCCTAACATTCTGCAGTCTCTCAAATCATATTTCTGTGTTTATTTTAAAATACCAGTACATATCTCAACTTGACAGTGCATTGTTATTACTTGCAGGCAGCTACTGAGACTTTCTTATGGAGTGGGTGGATGATGACATTATCATGCAGACGCTGAGACATATATCTCCTGATAAGAGGTCAATGTTACTTTTAAAAGGACAAACTTAAAAAAAAATGGGAACAAAAGAGCCTTCATTACCTCTTGAACATCTTCTGGATTTTTTCGTGAAACAATCTGAAAAACAAAAAGCAAGGTCTTTTTAGTGCTCAAGGCTTTTAAAAGGATAAAAAATAACAAATGAAATAATACTGTTAACACAGACTGAACTAGGAAATCTGTTTTATTGTGGAATCCTTGATGCTCTGTGAGTTTAGTTGTGTGTTTGCAGCTGTTTCATTAACCAATTAGGTAACATCATCAATGTGAGAAAGTGTGGATGTTACATACACTCCCAGATCCGATTTATGGTCACTCACTCACACAATGACAGCCCTGGTCAATAACCAGGAAACAATTAAACAATTACTTCAGATCACTTTCAACCAAACACTGAGGCAGAATTCACAAGTGATCCAGTGAATTTAAAATAACAGCAAAATTTACTGGTTACAATGTACATTTTCTCTTTTTCACATGCACATACATGCCCCCTTCAGGTTCTTCACAACTAGACTACCAGGCACTAGATACTGGGATGGAAGCCACCACGTCTGGATCCAAAGCAATTCAAAGATTTTAGGGCAGACTTTAGAATGCCTTTAGTCCCTCAAAGTCCTTGCTTTATTGATTCACAAGACTCACAGCTACTCTGTCCTTGTTCAGTTATAACAGGGCAGTCAAACTCATGGTCCGCGGGTTGGATGTGTCATGGCCACACCCATGCCCGGTTTAGTGAAGGGGGGGAGAGTTGTGATATGTCACATGACGACACTGTGATGACACAAGTTTGACATCCCTGAATTATAAGGATGATGATGGAGGACAAGGATAGAGGAGGATGGAGGAAGAGGAGTGGGGATTTCCATGTGCTCAAGCCCAGGTTTTTTTTTGTCTTTTCCTTTGTTTTCTCAAGGACTTGTTCCTTCTTAACTACCTCCCCCAATGAAACCTTTAAACATTTAATCTTTAAATATGGCAATTTCAGCCTAGCCTTACACATTTCTCCCTTTGGCATTGAGTTGCCACCAAACGGGGCTCACTAATCACCCAGAGCATTACAGGGTTTTTTTAATGTATTCTTGACAATAGGTTTTCTCTCCAATTGGCATAGACATACAATATTTCAGAAAAATAGATTTAACACATTGAAAAACTGAGGAAATTAATATGGAGGAAAACAATACAAATAGCAAGGTTATGATAGGTCTCATTTATGTTGAGGTGATAGGCTTACCTGTGTGGGAGACAGGGCATATTATTTAACACCATATAGAAAAACCCTAATGGTAGAATCCCCTGCCCTCCCCCCTCCCATGCTCACACAACAAAAAGAAATATTTAGCTAAAAATAAAGAAGGAGAGGCATAGCAGATACTAAGATGTTTCCACAGATAAAAACAGGAGAGTTGGAGGGCAGTGGATATTTACCGGTATTATTCCCAAACTTAGTGAAATATTGACTCCTACTGGTTGCATCTAAAAAATTTAGAGTGATTCTCTTCTAGTTTGTCCATGGTTTTGGTTCTGGAAATGATCCAAAGTGAAAAAACGCATTCCCTCCCATGAGTCATTAGTGAAATCTTTTAAAGCAGTAACATCTTTTAAACTTGAGGGTATACCAAAGAAACAGAGCGATGTGACCTTCCCACCATAAATAGTCACTTATGAAATTGTGGGGAAGGAGGGAACAAAAGAGGGATTGAAAACAAAAGGAATCAAGCATTTAAATAGACTTAATTTGAGAGTGGTATTAGTATCTGTTTTTGTTCAGGTATACTAAGTGGGGTGAAATTACATCAACTGTGTGTGGTTCCTTCCACCGTGATCCCAGGGCTACCAAACCCATTTCCCCATCAAGATTATCTAGCAGAGCTGTCACCTGGGAGCCCAGCCAGTAACAAAGCATCTGTTAGTCATCTCCAGATTTCCTCAAGGGATAACTAATCACTGGAATAAAATATTCAGAGGATCAAATCCATGCATCCCACCTCAATTCCAACAAAAACATTGGTGGAAGCATTATTGACAACTACATTATGAAGAATATAAGAAGCTACATGTTCTAAAGAATATCAGAGGGTCTATAAAGGTAAATCCTACTTCATTATCCTTTTAAAATCAATAGGCCTTTGCATGGGGATTGGTCAACACATGGATTTTCAAAAGATTTCTGACAAAATACCTTTTCAAAATAAACATAATATTCATGAAGCACTATCTTCTTACAAAGCAGTAACTGGTTAAAAAAAAGAAAGCAAAAAATAAAAATGGACAGTTCTTGCAATGAATGGATCTAAATGGTGAGGACCCAGAGTTCTGTACTGAAACTAGTACATTTTATAATGTTCAATAAAAATTGAGAAAAAGAGGCAGGGGTGACCAATGAGCTATCAATTTTTGTAACAACATCAGATGATTTTACATAATTAAAGTAAAATTTGAAAGATGTCCTAAAGGAGTCTATAAACTTGCAGAATGAAGTTTAAAATGGTAAACGTTGCTCGAAATAAAAGTGTGTCATGTAGTCTTTCTGTCACTGAGGCTTCAAAACCAAAATGTAATCCTATTAACTCTGGGATTAAAAATATTGTTTTATTCCCTGAATCAAACCCTTTTATGATTTGAACACTCACCCACCTCTCGTGTGATGACCCAGGGTGGGATACAAAAGCAACAAAAACACAAAAACAGGTGAAGTCCCTTTAATTCCTTCAACTTGGCTTCAAAGGTCCAATTATCATTGACTGGAGAAAAAATTCCCCCACAAACAGTTGTGAAAAGGAAGAACCGTTCAAACTCAAAATACATATAAATTATAAATAGAAAAAAAACAACACAAACCACACTGAAGCAATTAATGAGACAAAGCAGGATAAGGGCTTGAAGACATCCACAAATATTGAAATACACACACTGGGAAGGACACCAGAACTCAGATAAGAACTGACAAACTAGAAATATTTTCACGCTTTGCTTCCAGCACTGGCCCATGCACAGTTTGCCCTTTTAAATAGTCCTCACAGCTGCAGCCCTTTCCTCCCCCGTAGACCACGCCATTCACATTTCTCCCTTATCCACTCCTCCCTGCGTGCCCTAGGATGAAGAGGAGATGGGCCTAGGTCTTCCTCTGAATGCCCAGCAACCCCCAGTTTCCTCCAAAACCTCCGGAACCACACTCCCACTCCCTGTTGGCTGTTCCTCCTCTCTCTCTCTCTCTCTCTCTCTCTCTCTCTCTGAGATTCTAACAGGGGCATGACATCTCGCCTCTGAGATAATGGGATTTCATGGAATATGGTGAAGCTGTAAAACAGCATACCCATTTTAAAAACATTTAAACAAGAGTTTTTTTTACTACTTATCTATTGGCTGTCAATTCTTGTTCTCCCAGGACTAAATGTATATTTATAAATTTGTCATTGTGACAAACTGAAATCACTCTAGAGCTAAGACTCAGAGCTTCCCTCAGACCCATTCTTCCACCCATAACCTTTTATATGTCTCTCTCTCTCTACTCATTTCTCATTCGCTCCTGAATATATACTGGCAGAAGGCACTCCACATTAACAGTCTTTGCATGGCAGTTCTCATATCTATTCATCAAAATGAGATGCATAGAAGGGAAAATCCTGGCTTCACACAACCACTTAAAAAAATCTCGGCTAGCAGTGACTGAAACCAGAAATAGGTCTTATATTTGTGATGGATTAATAATATGAGAACTTAAGTGGCTGCACTGAAAAAGATAAAATTTCACATTGGAGATGACTAGGAAAGAAATCAGAAATAAAATTGGAATTATCCTAATGCTCTTCTGTAATCTTATGGGATAACAACATTTGCATTTTTGTGCAGGAAACTACACACAGACATACATATACAATTTATTACTTATCTACCTATTATTTATTTATTTGATTTATATCATTAATGACTCTGCCAATAATGATTCCCATTTACTGCTGAACATAACAACTAACAGGGTGCAAACATTTTATGGAAACTCAATTTCCTTCTTGGTAGAAGTGTTAACATCCGTTATTAAATGTTCTCATGCATGATAAATTGATGGTTATCAATTCACAAGGTTAAGCATCAAATGCACTATTTACAGCATCTCTGCTCTGAAGAGTGAGAAGTATGCATGTAGATAATATTGTTACATCTTTCCTGTAACACCTATTTTCTCTAAGGCATTGCAAGCTTGAGGTGTTAATTACATAGGAGCTATCTAATGCCCAGAGAGCATGATGCAATGTGCATTAGATTCTACAAGTCGAAAAAAAGAATCCAACCCATTTTTCTGTTTTCTGTTTAAGATTTTATAACTGGTAAGGGTATGTGCACATTCTGTATGTCTTCTACCTTACTGTATGTTTATAAGAATTTAACTTTCAACTGCGAAATAGTTCACTGCTTTATGACACATGACTTTAGAACAAAGTCAGGGCAGTTCAGACAGAGAAATGCCATGAGTTAAAATCAAAGAGAAGGCTGCCTGTACTTTCTTCCAAGAAAGCACAAAGTATTTTAAATATTCTTCAACTCAAAAGTCTCTGATAAATGAAAACAATTTAAGATCTCAAATTAATAAAAAGTACTGGGAATACTCCCCCACTTATCATCAACAGAAACTAGCCCAGTACAGTTCTGTCTGCATCAAGTGTTTTTAGGCTATTAGTCTGTTGCCCTGTCATTACTATTGTTGAATGTCCACATTCAACAAAAACACATTCTTAAAAAAAAAGATGGACAAAATTAAGTGGTTATATGAAATAGAAGTACATTAAGGATTTTTAGAACTTTCCTTCAGCAGTAAGGTTATTCCGAGGGTCCAAAATATTTAATAGATACAATATTTAGGTAAGGTCTTGTAATTATGGACAGAGATTGGAAATTCAAAGAGGATCGACTCTCCGAAATAAGATTCCCTGTAATATTCAATGCATTTCTACCAATGTTCAAAATAACGGTGTAGTGATTAACACAGTAGTTTGGGCTGTGTTTTTTAATCCAAAGTGGGAAAGAGCTTCCAAAAAATATCTGCTGTTTGAAGTATGAATGGGACTGGTTTGATTTGTACACAGAACAAAACCTTCATCCCCTTTAATTATTTTTAATATGATTCTTACACTGAACTCCAGGGAACATGGGCCTTGCAATTTAATCACCTTTTGCCCTTCAAGGTAAATACCCAGAACAATCCATAACCTTCTGCTGCCCTTTGCAAACATAAATCAAGTATACACTGGCTGTTGCTCTGGTTCTGTCATCCTATTTGGATGTATGATGACAGCTGCTCCTTCCAATCTAATCTTGCACAGTGCAAATTTTGACTGCTCTTCTCCCAGTACATTTTTACCAGGGAACACCTGTCATTCACAATTCTGACAAATCCTTGGTACTTTACCCAAACGTAAGACCTGCACTGTGGTTTACCTGAGACAAGCAATATCATTTCTGCACTTATTCTTTGTTCTCTCCTCCCCATTCCACAAAGGAAGGATGGATGTGAGACGAGAGTTACCTTCTTCCATTTTCTACCATAGGGAGATAGGAGATGGAGGGGCATCACAGTTTCTCATAATCAAGAAAGTTTTTAAGAATAGAAACAATAAATATATTTTGTGTGATGGGAAACTTTTATAGAAAGAGATGGAGATTCTGTGCGGTTTCCCCAGTTCACGCTGTAAAAAGACTTGGGTGAGGGATGCTAAAAATAATCTGCTGAGGGGAGGAAGAGAAACATCTTAGCAGTAAAAACCTATGCACTGACTGCAAAGAGCCTCAGGTCCAAATCCTGCTGCCTTCAGCTTTCAAAGACTGCGGACAGCAGAACCAGGGAAAGATGCCAGAGAACGGAGCAGCTTGATACACGCGCAAGATGTCTTGGCAAAAGAAACAGCCCTGCGTTCCCTTGGATGTGCCGCACGGGGCTCACCGGCGCCTAGTCACAGCTAGGAGCGCCAGGCGGCTTGCTCCCGCCCTGCTACCGGAGATCTAACGCGCAGCTTCAAGGAAACCCAGAACAAGGTTCGGGGATCTTGGAGGGAATCGGCTCCTACCATCGGCTCTGCAACCCCCGACTCTCGGCCATTGAAAATCATCGCTTTCCTGACCTCCTCAAAGGCAACTCACCCTCGCGGTGACCTTATATACCGTGTATCCCCGCGGGTGGCGTTTGGGCTCGGTGACCGTGTAGAATCGGGCCACCTCCCCGCCTCGATTCCGCGGGGAGATCATCCTTGCCGCCGTGACTGATGGTGCAGCGGCCCTGTCGGAGGTGCCGACGCTGCCGCTTCCCGGGCGCCAGCTGGGCGCCGCCTCTCAGAGCTGTCAGTCAATCGATCCACTCCCGGGTCAGGCCCGGACTCGAGGCGGAAGCAGCTGCGGAAGTACTGTGGCGGTCCCGTTTCCCTCGTAGCAATTCAGCCAGCGGCGAAAACCGGTATTTTTTCCCGTTCGTAGCAAGTCGATCCGTATTCCACCCACCCATTCTTAAGGGCTGGAGACAAGAAAAAAGGAGCGGAAGGATCCTCGCAACGATGTTAAAATCGAGCAGTAAATGTTGGTGCATAAACAACTGTGGCGCTTTTTTGGTATCAAAATAAATAAATAAATGGGAAAAAACCCTCGGTTTTGCCTGGTATTCCCATTCTGATAGGGAATTCAAGAGTTGAATTCAGTGGGGTTTAGACTCCTTAAGATTTGTTTTCATCGTAGTCCTCGGCGTGCAGTGTAAATGCATGTTTGTGGCATTTTTCTATTTTTTCTAATGTTGCTGTATGCTATTCTGTCTGGGAAGGATCTAAGACAGAATTAAGAGAGAGAAACAGGTTTTTTTCCTACTTAGGAAAAAAATCCACTTAGTAATTTCCAGACAGATGTTACCTAACTTCAGGTGTTGAACCAAAAAAATAATATTGCAGTTTAACTGATTATGCAAAATTGGGCACTTGTTTCAATGACATGTAAGGGAGTTGTAATTATACAAAACACTTGAAATAAGGTAATATAAAAATAAGAAATGAACCCTTATTAGGGAACTTTGCTGAACAGTGGACTGTTGTAGGAATAATGGCAGAATGCAGTTTAACCAGCTATATTCACCAAAGTACAATGAGATGCAAAATAAGCTAAAATTTTCCCCAGGAATCATGTTCCACCACCAATTCAGCCAACCAAATTTCTGGCATTACTAGGGGATCCTGATTTTAAAAAATCAACTCTCCAAAGTAACCAAATTTTGAGTTTTGGAGGGTTTATGTTCAAAACAATTGATAAATTGGGATAATTGGGAAGTGGATTTTCCAAACCATGTTGAGTATACAGAAACAACCAGAACAGATAGGAAAGGACTTCCTGTTCATTTTGTTTATTTTTTTTCAAGGACTTCTAATTAGTATAAAGTGATGAAGTTGGTTGGCAGTAAAGCAAACATTCCAGACAATATTTTGCACAGAATAGTGAAATATGATTTACAAGGAAATATTGGCTCTTTTTGCAACAAGGTCTTTTTATCCTATAGTCTACTTACTGAAATTGGCTAGAAAACTAAAATTCTAAGAAGTTCTGCTTTGGTTTAGAAGTGGCTTTTCTTAAAATAATTATTTCTCCCTAACACATGCCATTTTTTAAATCATTTCATTTTAAATGGATTCATAAGACCATTCCTTTCTGGAGTTTACAGGATTTTATTAAAATCTACTTCTATTTCCTATATGACAGGATTGTCCTGCAATTGAAAATTAACATCAAGTCCTGTGAACATCATATAGGTTTAACAAGATTGAAGGAAGTAGAGCACAGAAGTCAAACTTGCCATGTCACATTGTCGTTTCGCTGACATTTCACGTTTTTCCAGTTTGTGGAACTGGGGTGCACATGATGCATCCGGTCTGCGGGCCACCAGTTTGACACCCTTCAATTAGTAGGTCAAGGGGGCAAATATAGGATAAGATCAAATAATGAACATCCTATAAAGTTTTTGGAAGAGCTGAAGACTGTTGCCAAAATGTTTAGAGTTTTTTAATACAATCATCAGAGATCAGGAAGAATTTGATGACAACTAATTAGTTACAACTATAAAAAATAAAAATATAGTTCTACTGAATATTGAATGTCATTTATAAATTATATATACTGTCTTTCCAAACAGTAATTGAAATATATAAGAACTTTATTTTCATACATAAATACTGAACTAACTTCAATTTGGAAAATGTTTCAACACAGCATCTTATCTGCAACACTTTAATGCAGCTGAATCTTTTCCTGAGATCACAGGCTTGCTTTATCATATCTCAACACATTTTTCTATTAAATTCAAAGCACTGCAATAATTTGTGGTGTGGTTTCTGTATATTTGGGAGATTACAATCTGAAAATGGAATCAACCTTCTGCTCAGATTTTTTTAAGAAATCATTTTTTAGAAGATACAACTTCATGATCAAAAATGAAAAGACTTTAAACCTCCTGACTGTTGTTTAATCTTAATTCAGTTGTTACATTATCTAACTATATACCATGTGTATGCATGTGTGCATGTACACACACATTATATATTATATGTAGCCTTCAAACATTTCCTTTTTTTTTTGGACTAGGGCACAGAGGGGGGGAAATACTGATACAAAACATGGGAAGTAACCACTCCACCAGGCAGAATATTTAAAAGGCAAATGTCTACATACACAAAAGCCCCATCCCCATCTTTGCAGATCCCCATCTCTGCAGAAATAAGTGCCAAGCACTATATAGCACACGCAGTTGGGGGAAAACTTTATACTAGTACTAATAGCAGCAAAAACAGTAAAATGTCACAAATTTAATATAAAATTTGTAAGTTGCCCCTGGATCCTGGCTCGGTGTTTTGCTTTATATCAATTTCACAAAAGGATCAATAATCAAGGCGTTTCATGCGTGCAGAATCCTACAAAATGTGCAGATAAGTCATTATAGAATTAGTACAATTAAGATAGCCTCTGTCTGTAATTTACTGACAGCCAAATCTCTAAAAATTGTTATGATGGCAAAATAAATAAAAAATACAAGTGCAGGATTGTAAACGCTAAAAATGTATTACATTAGCTTCTGTGAGTCTTGCTTATACATTCTAGGGCCAAATACAAACCAAAATCTTTCTTCATTAATGTGTTGTCATGCTATAACCTGCACAATTAAAATCTATAAATTTGGGTAGGCTATACTGACCAACTTATAAACAAATAGGTTTTTTTAAATAAACAACTGCAGATGTATAATTATGGTAAGAAAATGGGCAAGATCTTTTGTTTGAAAATGTCACAATGTGGCTGTATTGCTGCCAAATGTAACACAGAATATACATCTGATGATTTTCTCTGAAGGCTACTTGTACAGAACAATTGGGATTTGTCTATTACACTCAACTACACAACTTGAGATTCTCCTCATTTTAGAATGTGAGATCACCACAATGCTTCTGTGTTCTAGGTATAGCAGTCAGTATTTCCATGACAACTTCACTACTGTACTGTATAGATTTTCATGGACATTCTTACTGTATTTGGTTTTTAAAGGATAGAATCAATTTTGCTTGCTCAGTGACTTCTGCTTCATTCAGTTAAAACTAGATGAGAAATGGCATCATGACAATAAGGTTTGTAATATATGAATTTGTCAGATATTTAACACTCATTTAATTGCCATGTATCAAAACACCGATTCTCTTTACTGAGAAGTGAACAATAGTTGTTTTTACTTAATCACTCATCTCAGCACATTTAAGACAACTGTTTAAGGAAGGTATGCTAAAACTTAGAACTAAATCCCAAGTTAAAATTGAAGCTATGTAGCCCTATACACACGCACATATAGTTTGTAAAAACTTTTAAAAGGGAAGATAAAAATACAAATAAATATAAGAAAAAAAGAAAAATCAGAAAAAAGCTAACAGGTTTAGAAAAAAAAAATACAAAGACTCTCTTCATAATCTGTCAAATCATCAAAACATCATCTAGTCAACAGTAAACAACTAAAATGGGAGGAATAGCCAGATCTAGAAGGATCTTGACAGACTTCAACTCTGGGCCTTATCCAGCAAAATGGAAAGTCATGAATGCAGCTTTGTATAGGCCTTCTCAGTCAACATCAATGCAAACTTACAGCTCTTGAATAAGTTAATCACACATACAAATATTATAAGCACAATGTAATGTTCTTTGTGTAAAAAAATTAGTTATATTAAGTCCAAATGTATTTGATAAACACATTTTTCAGGATTGCACTGAATTTTTGGTTAGAAAGCTGAATGTGTGAACTTCAGTCACTCTTTCTGCCAAATTCACCCCATGGGAATCACTATGAATGTTGAAATCTACCTATGAACTTCTTTAAACAAGGCACAATATAAAAATAATGACAACTGCAATTCAAATATAAATAGATGTATACTGAAAAACATCATTTTAAAAATGTCTTCCATCGGTCTTCATCAAAAGCAGTCTATAAATTCGGTGAAAGAATTCTTCTCCAGAATTAAATAGCAAAAAGTATCTAAACGAAGCGTCCTGCCCAAGTCCATCTTCCATACACAGAGCTGGGCCAGCAACTGCTACTCAGAGGAATCTGCTGCTCTCACTGCAGGTTTTGACTCAGGTATTGAAGAAACATGCCGCCCAGCTGGGGCAGATTTTGTTCGCCTTCTCCCGGGTGCATCTTGGCATAACTGAGGAACTGCCTTCGCAGGCGGCTCAGCTCAGCCAGGCTGACCGGCCTGTTAAGCAGCAAGCCTGGAGGCTCTCGGCCGCCTCCTGCTAGCCCATCCACCGCCACCGGAATGAACTGTCCGGCCTGGGCGCCGTCCCTCTGAGCAGCCATGACGGCAGCCAGCACCTCTTGGGTCAGGCGGTCGAGTTGGTGAAGGAAGCCGGCGGCTTGGAGCGGCTGGGAGCGCGTGGACTGGTTGGGAGGAGGCGGGCGCCGCTCCAAGAGGGCAGCGCGGATCTCGGGCAGCGGCAGAGGCTCGGCGGGGTCCTCGGGCGCCAGAAAGAGAGGCCAGTCCCAGCGGTTTTGCGAGTCCGGCGGCTCCAAAGGAGGGCGGTCGGGGAGCGCGCCACCTCCCGGGCAGAGCACCAAGCAGTGCGTGGTCCCCGCGTGCTTGCTGAGGCAATATAGCTCGTAGCGGAAGCTCTTCAGCTCGCTGCCCGCGTCGACGATTACCACGTCCCGCTGGTTCAGCAGACGCTCGGCCGCCGCCCGCAAGGCAGCCCGGCCTCCGGCCACGTCTGCCTCGGACACAACGAAGGCGCGCCGTTCGCCTTCAGCGACCAAAGCGGTGCGCAGCTCTTCGGCGCGCCGGCTCTTGCCGCTGCCCGGCAGCCCGCAGAGCAACACCAGCGGCATCGCGCCTTCTTCGCTCACTCGGCCGAGGAAACCTCGCAGTCTCTCATTTCTGCTTCCGCCCAGCGCTGAGATGGCGACAGCGACGTTTCCGTTAAAACCAAAAGGGTTTTTCGAGTGCACTTTCCTTTTCCGGTTCCTCCCCCACCCCACCCCACCCCAGTCACTTCTTCGAGATTTGGCCTTCGGAAAGACGAAAGAGATAAAATAATGAAGAGTAGTTTTCCGGTTCAAACTTCCTGGCTCGCAGCAAACCTTTAGATGAATTCATCCGCCCGCCACGAAATGACCGTTAAAAGAGTTAAAAACTAATCACCTCTTTGATCCTTCAGCAGAGCTGGGGTTCCCAAGCAGTTTCCTAAACGGGGAAAATAGGAGGGGTTTAAAGAACCCCAAAACAGTTTTTCAACAGCTTATTTTTCGTGAGTCTACGGAAACGTGATCGAAAGTAACGCCCGTGGAAAAAAAATAAAACTACAAGTCCCATGCGCCGAAGCGAAAGCAGAGGTGGGGTGGGGGAAGAAACAGGTGTGCTTTGTTCTGCGGGAGGAGTGGCTGGTTGAGAGCGCGCGGGGGCCTGACTCCTGATCGCGCGCGGTGAATGAAAGAGGCGGCGGCGGCGGCGGCGGCAGCGGCAGCAGCCTGAGATGACCCGCCGGGCGAGTGGCGGTGGAGAGCAGAGGTCTGGCCGGGAGAGCGGAAGTGGCCTGCTCGGAGGTAAAGATACGGACCTCCCTCGTGGCCTAGGGCAGGCTCCCCGAATCTTACTGCCGTCGGATATGTTGGACTACAACTCGCATCACTCACTTGATACGAGTATGGTCACTGTAGTCGAGCATCACCGGGAAATGCTGGCCAGAAGGATAAGGACTGCCCCTTGGGATTTCACCTGCTCGGGGGGGATAGTGTTTTCTTGCAAGACATCATCAGTGCTAGCATGTTACCTAGTTTGGGTAATGAAACGTCTGCAAGAAAACAAGCTCAAAGAGCACCAAGGACCCCTCATGTCACCCTCTGATCTACAAATACTCTCCTTTATCAATAGGCTGAGTTAAACGTCTGTAGAGATTCTCAGTCATCCAGGTCATGGTTGTCCCAAAGGTGTTTTTTTCAAGAGGCAGCTGGACTTCCTTGTTTTTTTTTTTGTTTTGAAGACATTTTGCTTCTCATCCAAGAAGCTTCTTCATCTCTGACAGAATAGTGGGGAATGGAAGGATTTCTATTCCTTGCAGACAGCTGGTCATTTGCATCCTTTTAGAGGGTCCTTGAAGCACTTGGAGATTTATCTTTGTCGTCAGGGTCACCTGAGTATAATACTCCTGGTTCCTGTAGTTGCAATTTTTCCCTCTGGAAATCCATTCCTACCCCAACACCATTCAAAGGGTGTTCATCCCAAATTGTACAGCTACAATTCTGCAGACTTTTAGCTACACACCCTGCATCATGCAGTCATTCTTAAATTATATTTGTGTTCAGTTTGAAGGGTCTATCATAATCACCGAAATGTTTCAGGAAGCAAACAGTTTTTGAAAAAAAAAAAAGTTTTATTGTCCAGTGTTATGTGATTCTAATTGTGCTTGAGTGCTGTATAACCAACTCATTTAAAAAAAGACTTTGGGTATCCACAAAGTTTTTATGGCATAAAAATAATGTCTTCCCTAAATTCCTTTTAAGATGAAGGCTGTGGCTTGGATCAAATTTATATGGCAATATTTAGTGTAAGCATGTTGTTAATGTCATTTTGTCAGCAGGTGCCAATCATTCTCAAGCTAGCACCAAACTAGGAATCTTGACTCTAGTCCTGTTATAATATTGAAACACACTTCCTCTGTTGGTTGTAGAATATAAATACAAATGTTGTAAAATACAAGTTACAAGCTCCAAATCTGTAACAAAACACAATTTTTTTAAAAAAATTAATTTAGCCAGTTTATTTTGCAACAAACTTGTATTTCAATAGACATTACTTAAAAAAAAAAAAAGATCCCGGGTGGGGTTATTCACACATGATTAATTGCAAACAAGGAGGTACTGTTTATTCACAGTCTTGGAGTTGGCACATTGGTGTTGCCCATCATGTCAGGGCTAAAAAAGAAATGGTATCAAGCTAAAAAGATATGCAAAATTGTATTCATACAGTTACTATCACGTCTACTGTACTTTAGTTCAAAAAGATACTCAGATTGTAAATGAAAAGACCTGTTACAAACGTAGCAGGAGAACAAAATGTGCAGCATTCTGTACCGTCTGTGGGCAACTAGAAAACAGTAATATACAGATAATCCTTGACTTAAGACCACAATTGGGAATTTTTGTTGCCTATCATGGAAGTTGTTAACTTGCACTTGATTTTTTGATCTTTTTTACGATAGTTAATTATTGCAGTTGTTAAGTGAATCATGTTGTTAAACAAATCCAGCTTCTTCCAATAACTTTGCTTATAGAAAGCTGGCTAGGAAGGTTGCAAATGATGGTCACATGGCCCTGAAATGCTGCAACCATCATAAATATATGCCAGTTGCCAAATATTTTGATTGCATAACTGTAAAGATCCTGCAATGGTTGTAAGTGCAAGAAGTGGTAGTAAGTCACTTTTTTCAGTGCTGTTATAATTTCGAACAACCTCTAAACAAATGATTGTAAATCAAGAAGTACCTGTACCACAAAAAGTATGTGAAGGCAGAAATATTTTCCCACTGACCCAGCAACTGGCTTCTACCTACACTTTTTAATACTGAAATATTGATGTCAGTAAGTGATGCTTATGCACTTTCATGGACAGCTATCTTAAACATTATACAAATGACACCAGTCTAAATTTTTAGATAATTGTAGCAATAGCAATAATATTTAGACTTTTATACCACTTTACAGTGCTTTACGGCCCTCTCTAAGCGATTTATAGAGTCAGCATATTGCCCCCAACAATTTGGCTCCTCATTTTACCCACCTCAGAAGGATGGAAGGCTGAGTCAACCTTGAGCCTGGTGGGATTTGAACTGCTAAATTGCAGGCAGACAGCAGAAATAGCCTGCAGTACTGCACTCATTGCTCCACCTTTTCCCTCTTATCCTTCTCCATTTATTCTTTCTCCTTTCCATTTTAAATTTTATATTACAGAAATCTAACTGCTGTTGCTTTTCTTCTAGATATCCCATGCTGTCCCGCCACATTCACAGGCTGGTTAGAGATTGTGGCTTTTACCAGAATCATCTTCAAAGATATCTCCAAAATGCTCAAGCTTTTCAGTGCCTGAAGTGTGTGAAATACTATTCTTGGGCTTGCTACCCATACTTGAAACTTCAGAATTTTGGGGAGAATTTGAGACTTCCCCTATTCTGGAACTTGCAACTTTCTCCCAATCTCTGGCAAAACTATTCCATTAATTTTTGTACAGCAAAAATGAAATCCGAGGACTATGAACCAGTTTTTAAAAAAAGAAGAGATAGCGAAGTGCAGGACATTAGTTGCAGTGTTGAAACAAAAATAAATGTATCTTCTTTAAATGAAAAATCATCATCTCCACTTAAAGAAGAAAACACTCCAAAACTAAAAAGTAAGATGGCATTTTATTATGTTGATTGTTTGTCTTCATAGGATATGGATAATTAGTTGGATTATAGAGAGAATTTGAATACTCTTGTCTAGTTTTTATGATTGTCCAACTCTGGATAACAAACAGAATAAAAACATAATCAACCAAGAACCCCCCCCCCCCCACGAACCCCCCCCCCAAACCAAGAAAAGAGCCCTCATAACTAATATTCCTGAGCAAAGAACCAAGTCTTCACAGTCTTCCTACAGGCCAATTGGGTTGGGTCATCTGCATTTCTGGGGACAGGTTGCTTAATAGAGCACGTGCAGGTGCCTATGAGAGGAAAAGGTATACTTGCTGGGATCCATCAGGTGACACAGCTTCATCAAAAGACCCAGAACATTCCCACTGCGAGATCGAGTAGGATGGGCAGAGATCAGTGGATTGGCAGTCCCACAAGTAACCTAAGTAAACAGGTCCCTAATCCAACACATTGAGTGAGACTTTGAAAAAGATAAGTTGTTGCCTGATGCCTGCTGTAAGTTCTTTGGAGGAACAACAGGATGCCATCTGATTTTAGTTCCTCAATTCTTCAAGTACACTGACTTGCATTTATTCAGATAATTTTTAAAAATTCATAATTATCTTATTAATGTGTATATTTTTATTACCTCTCCTCCAAAGAATCCTAATTACTAGAATTATGTGTAGATATCCCAGAGTACACTTTTTGGGGTCTATGAAATTATTTCTTCTTAAAGATACCCTGAGGAGTCTTTTAGATAATTTTGCTATGCTATTACTGTTAATCTTGTCATCACTCCTTATCACCCATCCCCTCCCACTTGGGACTGTATGACTGTAACTTTGTTGCTTGTATACTTATGATTTATAGTAACTGTTTTCTAGTATGATTTGATTGTTTATTGTACCTTATGACTATCATTAAGTGTCGTACCTTATGATTCTCAACTCTTGATGAATGTATCTTTTCTTTTATGTATACTGAGAGTATTTACACCAAGACAAATTACTTGTGTGTCCAATCACACTTGGCCAATAAATTATTCTATCTATGCTATGCTATGCTATACTATGAATAAACATTTCTGATAATAAAGATGCACCCACCTTTTTAAATGGGAGTCAGTGTTAATGGAAAATACCAGTATTATACAATAAGAAAAAATAATCAATTTGACATCTTCTAGATTTCTTCTTGATTATTGCTAATGCACTGTCCCTGCTATGCATCTGGTAATTAGATCAAAATTTGATTAGATTTATATTAACTTACTAGATTTATAATTAATATTAATATA